ATTCTAAAGGATAACCCAAAATTATTTTCTCCATCAAAATCCCTCACTGATCAGTTTCAATTGACAGTGTGTCCACCAAAAATGTCCATCTGGCCCTCTTGACTCCTTCCATAGACAAGAAGGTCCCCTTTCAGATCAGAGTCTCCTTTCGATAAACGAAAGAACTCCTTTCTCTTCTCTTTGGTTAAATCTTCTCACGGTTATAGCCAAAGTTAAAACTTCACTTCGATAAACGAAGAACTCTTTTTTCAGTTTAGATAACTAATCCTATAAAAGGCAAGTTTATCTAGATTTTCTAGATTCTCGGAGTGGAGATCCCACTTCTAGTTTCTTCTGCACTAGAAATAGAATATAAAATTCTTCCTTTCCAGAATCAAGGAATAGAATATAAAATTCTTCCTTCCTTGTATCCGGGTTTGCCTTCACCCTAAAAGAAGACCGGGAAATAGAATATAAAATTCTTCCTTTCCCGCATTGCTCGTTTCCAAAATTTGTCAATTTAGGATTCATCCTAGGAAGTTTATCCCGAATCCTAAGCAGGGATAAGTCTGCGCCTAACACACGTCGCCGGTTTAGTCTTTTTCCGTACAAAAAGACACCAGAGTTCGATTCTGGGGTATTTTATCCTGAAACCTAAGCAAGGATAAGTCGGCGCTTAACCCGCGCCGCCGGTTAGTTCTTAACCGTTCATTGTGACAGGTTGTTATTAATAACACCAAAATCCATGCCTTACACGCATGGGGAATTTCATCCTGAATCCTAAGAAAGGATAGGCCGACGCCTAACACGCGTCGTCGGTTTAGTCTTTCTCCGAAGAAAAAGACACCAGAGTTTGAATCTGGGGTATTTTATCCCGAAACCTAAGTAGGGATAAGTCAGCATCTAATACATGTTGCTGGGTAGCCTATTCCCATAACAGTGGCGAAGTCTACATATTCGAAGTTGTAGCATCAAGTCTAAGGGAGTTCATTCCTTTAGCACAACGTCACATGCGGAACGGATTTAGATAATCCGCATGCTAGCCCGACTCAAACGGTAGTCGGTAAAGGCTAATCAAACCCGTTGAAGGCTGGGGGTTAGCCAAAAATCCTAAAATCAACACCTAACACGTGTCGCCGGGTAGCCTATTCCCGTAACAATGGCGAAGTCTATGTATTCAATATCATGGCACAAAGTCTTAGAGAATTTACTCTCTTAGCGCAACGTGACATGTGGAACGGATTTAGACAATTCGCATGCTAGCCCGACTCAAACGGTAGTCGGTAAAGGCTAATCAAACCCGTTAATGGCTGAGGGTTTGCCAAAAATCCTATGAGTATTATGGTCAATCATTTCAAACGGAATGAGGAATCATAATAAAGATAAAGACAAAAACCAGTTCCACTAAAAATCATACATCAAGCCCATGGCTAAGGATCTGCTGACTAAACTTAGATAACTTCTCATCATAAGCTTGCCTAAGCTCATCCTGCAACTCGGCTCTGATGGACTCTTCGCTGGCGGCTAAAGTCTTCACCGCAACTTCCTCTGCCTCGACCAGCTGCTGCTTCAAGGATTTCAGCTTATCAGATAAAGCAGTGTGTGTTTGGTGATCCTGCAGCTTTGTCATCTCGAGAATACTCAAAGTCTCCTCCTTCTCACGGAGTTCTCGTCGGAGCTGATCTATCTGGGCCTCACAAGAAGCGATGGAAGAATCAAGCTCGTCAAGTGAGGATGATTTAGTAGCAAGGTTAGCCTCAACTCGATCTATTCGGCCCCGCTGCACCTGAATCTCGAGCTCAGCAACCATCCGAGTACTGCGCCATAACTGTAAGCGAGTATCCAACTCAGTAGTAATGAATGAAGAGGCACCTGCATCCCGGAGCTCGTGAAACATCTGAAGCTCACGCTCTAAGCAGTCAAGGTCATCGAATATAACTCTCGCCAGATCCGGGTATCCCGCATCCCTTATTAAATTTATTTTAGAATCAAGGAATGGTTTAAACTGGCGAAGGGAAAGTCCGTCGTGGAGGAGTTTGCCAAGCATAACATTCATAAAGGAGAAGAAAGAGCGGACTTCTACACAAATGACGATCTTCTCAGGGTCATTGTCCGATAACAACTCCTTCACGAGGACATGAAGCCGAGAGGAAGGCCCTACCAAAAAGGAGAAAATCCGTCAAAAAGCCTTAATAAGGAAATAAATGACATTTTCAGCGGCTTAATTTATACCTCCTTCCCCTTGAGTCGCTGGGGGTAGCGGAGACGTAACAGCTGTGGGTGTGTCAACTGGTGGAGTTGGTCTCACAGCCTCAGTAAAAGCTCCTGTTAAACACAGAACAAAATGTTCAGATGCATTATATTATAGCTGCATTAGTCAAAAAATTGGCTAGTCCTATAATTAACTCGAGAAGAGGCACGTACTTTCAAAAGAACCATTCTCAGGATCCTGAGGGAGTACGGGCTCAGGAAACATATCCTCGGGCAGCGGGCCATCGATCTGGGGAGAGTCATACATGAAGTGGAACATAGAGGTATCTGCAGGCAAACCTGCCTCGTCGAAATCGTCAATCGAAAAATCTGACACAAGGAAATGTAAGTACGAAAGAAGAATGAAGAGAATATGACCAATGGAAATAAATTACCTCTCGTAGATGTATCTGGATTCACTGAATCAGGTCCTACATTGGTAGCCTCCCTAAAGTCGGCGGCTTCTGCAGGTTTTTCTACCTGGTAAGGTGAGTCAGGCTCACCAGAAGATACAAACTCATGAGGAGCAGGATCGAAACTCATCTCCCCTTCCTCGCGTTCTCCTGCATAGAATGGGAAAGCATCAGCCTAAAAATCTAAACAATCAAGAGAATGATCTATAGATTAGACGTTACCTCTGTCGCTAGCAGGATCATCACCAGCCAAGTCCATCTCAGATGCCTGCGAATCTGCAGGCGGATTATGGGCTAGTCTCTTCCGCCTATCAGCATGGACAGTAGTCGAAGGTCTTGCCCGGGCAAAAGGATGGAATTCCTCTTCACTGTTTGTCGCTGTCCCTGAAATAT